GCGGAACGGCTGCAGCCAGGGCCCCTGGGCCGGGGCGCAGTGGAGTGGGTGGGCCTGCGCCCCCTGCCACCCACTAACCGGGTGGCAGTCTCCCACCCCCTTGCCACTGCTGCAGCTGCACTGCCTGCCCCGCTCTGGAACTAGGAGCTCCTACAGACCTGTGGGTTTGTTTGCGGCCCGCCTTGCATTGGGGCCTGGCCGCCAGTTGCTGCCCTGCCCTGCTCGAGGGTCTGGGCGTCCATATGAGGGGTATGGCACCCAGCCACGATCCGGATCGGACCTTTAAAGGGCCAGGCCTCGGACTACTTTAAGGCCCAGTAGGGCCATAGGACGGACTAGCCATCCACTGTACCAGGGCGGAGGATCCACCTCCTAAAGGCCTGCCGTCCTACAACGAACCATCCCCCGGAAGGGGACAGCTTAGAGGCTATGGTTGTCACTGCCGGAGGGCAGTGACCAAAAGGGCGACGAGAGCCCGGGGCCATCTGGAGCATGGATATTACTGGGGTGTCAGGGCTTTTGCTCGTGAGGCTTCCGGCTGGCCAGGCAGGAAGCTGAAGCGCTCTGTGGGACTGGTTTGTGGCCTATTGGAAAGGTCACCAGTCTGGGGGCTGTAAGAAGTCCTGAATTTGAGCAATTTGCCCTGAGTGGACACCCTCAGCTGTGCCCAGACCCGGCCCTGTACGCCACTGTGACGGACCGGGCCGGGAGAGAAGCGGAAAGGGAGGGCAAATCAATGGATTTGCAGCACTCTGAAAAGGCTGGGAGGGAGGGGAGAGGAAGTACAGGGCTCCAGTGCTCCAGTGCACAAGAGGAGCATGGGAGAGAGGGGCAGAATGGGAGTCCGTGGGCTGCAAGTTTCCCACCACTGATGTACGTGCATTGCTTGTTTGTAATCAATGATTCAAAAGTCTCTTGCACAAAACAGCATGAACATATATATTCCTGCATAGCATATGACTCTAAGGGAAAAAATTACTTGTCAAAATCTTATTTTGCATTACTATCTGTTATTAATAATTGAGTCATTTTTGAAAGAACAAAACTTTAAGTATATTGTCCCAATGCTGAGCAGGACATAAGAACATAAGAACATAAGAACGGCTGTACTGGGGCAGACCAAAGGTCCATCTAGCCCAGTATCCTGTCTACCGACAGTGGCCAGCACCAGGTACCCCAGAGAGGGTGGACCGAAGACAATGATCAAGCGATTTGTCTCCTGCCATCCCTCTCCAGCCTCTGACAAACAGAGGCCAAGGACACCATTTTATCCCCTGGCTAATAGCCTTTTATGGACCTAACCGCCATGAATTTATCCAGCTTCTCTTTAAACTCTATTATAGTCCTAGCCTTCCCAGCCTCCTCTGGCAAGGAGTTCCACAGGTTGACAACACGCTATGTAAAGAAGAACTTCCTTTTATTAGTTTTAAACCTGCTACCCATTAATTTCATTTGGTGTCCTCTAGTTCTTCTATTATGGGAACTAATAAATAACTTTTCTTTATCAGCCCTCTCCACACCACTCATGATTTTATAGACCTCTATCATATCCCCCCTCAGTCTCCTATTTTCTAAACTGAAAAGTCCCAGTCTCTTTAACCTCTCCTCATATGGGACCCGTTCTAAACCCCTAATCATTTTAGTTGCCCTTTTCTGAACCCTTTCCAAGGCCAAAATATCTTTTTTGAGGTGAGGAGACCACATCTGTACACAGTATTCAAGACGTGGGCGTACCATAGTTTTATACAGGGGCAGTAAGATGTTCTGGGTCTTATTTTCTATCCCTTTCCTAATAATTCCTAGCATCCTATTTGCCTTTTTGACTGCCGCTGCACACTGTGTGGAAGTTTTCAGAGAACTGTCCACGATAACTCCAAGATCTCTTTCCTGATTTGTCGTAGCCAAATTAGCCCCCATCATACTGTACGTATAGTTGGGGTTATCTTTCCCGATGTGCATTACTTTACACTTATCCACATTAAATTTCATTTGCCATTTTGTTGCCCAATCACTCAGTTTGGTGAGATCTTCTTGGAGTCCCTCACAGTCTGCTTCTGTCTTGACTATCCTAAACAGTTTGGTATCATCTGCAAACTTTACTACGTCACTGCTTACCCCTTTCTCCAGATCATTTATGAATAAGTTGAAAAGGATTGGTCCCAGAACTGACCCTTGGGGTACACCACTAGTTACCCCTCTCCAATCTGAAAATTTACCATTTATTCCTACCCTTTGTTTCCTGTCTTTTAGCCAGTTCTCAATCCAAGAAAGGACCTTCCCTCTTATCCCATGGCCATGTAATTTACACAAGAGCCTTTGGTGAGGGACCTTGTCAAAGGCTTTCTGAAAATCCAGGAATATTATTAACAGTCATAAGATATGTGCTATTTTTCCAAATAATAAATCCTAGTGATCAAGAAACACAGCATTATTTAATTATTTCAATAACAGACTATACTATTGCATGGCCAAATGGAAACTATCTGGGCAAATCTGTGCCACCTGATATGATGGTATGATATCTTTCATGCCAGCTCCATCCTTCAGAAATATCCTCCAACTTGCCTGTTCTATTTTATGAATATTTATTATAAGAAGATTTGCCCGGCATTGCTCAGATCCTTAATTTATTTTTTTAAATAAAATGAAAATGTACATGCTTAATTTAAATCATTGCTATGGGGTGGGGCTGAGGATGAAGAGTTCTGTATGCAGGCTGTCCTGAGGAGAGAGGACTACTGTAGCTCTCTCTTAATGTAGCAGCTTGGGACTTGAAGCATCTCCGCATGGCCACTGCAGCTCCAGGGCACAGCTGGGGGAAGGATGCATTCTCCCTGTGCCCCCCAGAGTGAGGAATGCAGCAAACCTTGCACTTTCCCCTAGGTCCCTGACAAAGAGGAACAGCCAGCAATGTTCCAATACATATTGGGGGAAGGAGCTTTAGCCACCTTGCTCTACCTAAGCCTGAATAGGACAGGCCCAGATTCGTCTGTTCCCTGCACTCCCCAGCCCATGTGAGGAATGGAGAAAACAGTGCACTTTCCCTTCACTCGCTGATGAAGGGAAACAGCCAGGCAGGGTGTGAGGGGAAGCTTCAGTAGGAGAAGGCTCAGGGCTGGGATAGTCCGGGAGAGGAGGATTCTCCCTTTCACCTGCCTGATGATTCTGTCTTTTTTTTCCGTATGATTTTATAAGAAGCAATTCCATTCCAGGCACATCCCATTTTTCTGGCACAACCAAACCCTTACCTTGCTTTAAGTTATGATAAGAGGAAGGCTGTATACCTAACGTGGTGACCCCAGCTCGTATCATTTAGGAGGAGTTCTTGAACAGATAGACAGAAACGTGTAGACGCAGACAGGCAGATTCACAAACTCTCTCAAATATATAGTAAATTTTAGCTGTGTCAATTAACTGGTGTCCAGCATGATTCTAAATGGGAATTTGATTATCGTTCTAGCTCATTTTAATAATTGTATGCACATATGTGAGGGTAGAATTTGATCCTGAGTGCATTAGTTAAGCCCATATACTCAGATTAATCAGCATCAGGCCAAACTGCCATACGATGGTGAATATAATTAGTCAAAAAATTTTGTATAAAAATTGCTCCTTACCTGATCTGAAGAAATTCTGATTGAGTTCATACAGCTAAGCATTTCAGTACCATGCCTACTTAACATTTTTAGAAACAAATTGGAATCTTGGTGTTCTGATTTGCATGTCTAAATTTCTGAAGTGGGTTTTTGTTTTATTTTTCCCCTAGCACACAGTTATTTCAGTAGAGTTGGACAACTTTTGGGCAAATACTGAAAAGTTTATACATGCATATATGGATCAATACTGTACATGTATGTGTGTTTATTATTTAATTTACTTCTTCACACAAGTATCACAGGCGTAGCCATATTAGTCTGAATCTGCAAAACTTCAAGAACAGACTTCAAAAAGAAACTGTTGAGCTACTATTCATCTGCAAATTTGACACCATCATCTTAGCATTAAACAAAGACTGTGAATGGCTAGCCAACTACAAAAGCAGTTTCTCCTCTCTTGGTGTTCACACCTCCACATCAGCTGCTAGAAGTGGGAATCATCCTCCCTGACTGAATTGACTTCGTTATCTCTAGCCTTATCTTTATTGGTACTCTTTTCTTATGCCTGTATATTTATACCTGCCTCTGGAATTTCCACTAAGTGCATCTGGTGAAGTGGGTCTTTACCCACAAAAGCTTATGCTCCAATAAATCTGTTATTCTATAATGTGGCACAGGACTCCTCGTCGCTTCTTCACACAGTATGTGTTGAACTGCAAATTGGAACACTGGCCACGGTTCTCAGGGGAAGGAATTTTCCCCCAGGTAAGATTGGAAGTGACCTTCGGGGTGGGGCTGTCTTCCTCTAACATGTGTGGGTGCAGGCCACTTGCCAGGATTATCTCACTATATCTCATTTAATCTTTTCCCTGACATTGCAAGAACCTCAAGCACTGGTGTACCTTGATCCCTCCTATTCACTACCCATGGTACACAACAGTCTAATCTCCTGTACCCCTCATTTACTTTGATCTGATTTCCATTGGGTTTAATATTCAGGTGCTTGGTGGTGTCCATGGCTTGTGACACATAAGAGATCAGACTGGACAATCTGGTCAGACACATCAATAACTACCAATATTGGGGACAATCATGTGACTATCATGTAGGCTGTTGAGTTGAGAGTTACAATAAAGTCATTTGCCACATCTCTGTGTATCTTCCTCGTTATTCATAACAAGGGCACTGTCAATACAAGAACTCTGACCTCAAGGTCAGAAGGGATAACTTTTTTAAGAATATACATTTTATTTCTAAACAATATTCATGAAATATGTCCAAAATCCTGTGGCATTTTATCCGGAAAGACCCCATCCCTCCAAGAATCCTCTTTACCACTTTTAAAAGGATAATAGCTTTAAGTTACCTGATAATCAGCTGGTCCAGGAGTACAGAAATCTCCTCTTTTAAAAACATATAGAGGTCGAGGAGCTGAAGATCCAAATACTCCTTTCTTTGTACTCTCCAAGTAAGCTTTTTTAAAACTCTCTCTTTCAATACTATAGTTAAGAATATTATAGAATGCTGGACCTGAAAAGTCACAGTAGAATTATGAACCATCATCATACTTTTGATTTTTTGTCAGTTATTAGAAATATATTACCTTTTAATAGTAGTTTTAAAATTATGTTGTTGTACTGTAATGAAATTCTCTCAAACAATGAAAGCATAGGGATGCCGTACATTTACTGACCCACATCTGTGTCATTATCTGCCTGTTACCCAAATGTATGCACCTTTTGGTGGGAGGGATCTTGATATTTACAATGACTAATTATGTTTCAGTAATATACACAATGTTCTGAAAAGCTTTTCCATTTTGCCTTGGACAACTAAATAATTATTTCAAAATACTAGTAATGTTAGTTGAGAGTCCTGTTCAGCCACCTTACACAGACTGAGTAGCATCATACTCTGCAAGTAGCGCACAGGCCATAATAAAATAGGCAGCTATGGAATTGCACTAATGTTGATTTAGTGAAAAATTGCACAACAATTTAATAAATGAGAGTACTCAAAGACAGACTACTAAGCGTGAGTTCGGTGTCAGAACAAGAGGTGGGGTGAAATTCATCCCTGGGCGCAGACAAGGCCTACACATCACTTAAATCCAGGAGGGCATTGCACAAGCATGAGCTGTACCCTCACTAAACAACCAATGTATCACATACAGAAATGTTGATAAAGATTAGAAAACAAAAACTATGTTTAGTGATAGTTAAGGTTGCAGCAGGATGCACCCCATCCACCCACATTTTTTAAAACATGGAAATAAGAAGTTAAGAAGAATATACATGTAGAGGCAATGGACCAGGCAGGTGGAATTGAAACTGGGACCTTACGGGCTAAACCATGAGGCTCTACCACATGAGCTAAAAGCCAGCTGGCCTATAACTTAGTCTGTAGAGCAGAGTTCACTCTCCCATTTCTCAGTAGTCTCAGTGCCTCTGGGTTACATATGTCTATTCCTTTACATCTTCATACTGCCTGCATCGATAATGCACTCCAACATTCATAAGGATTTAACTTCCATCCCCAACAGAACCCAAAATTAATATACAATCACAATTTCATCAAGCTTGCACTCAGATTTGCAAAACCTTTAAAGGAGCATTATATGCTGTTAGCAGGGGTGAATGAGAGTTTTGCGGGGCCCAGGGCAGCACAATTTCACGAGGCCCCTTTTTGGAGAAAAAACAGAAAATAGGCATCTCCCCTGTGCCCACTCCTCCAGTAGCCCCACTCCGATCATGTGAGCTACCCCTCCTCATCCCCTCTCCTAACATCTCCCTCTATACACCTGCCCTGCCTCTCTCCTCTGGTGCTGGTCCCTCCCCTGCAGGTGTCTGCCCTTCTGCTTCACCCCCAGAATCCCCTGGCACCTGCACCTTCCCTTACCCCTGCACCCTCCTGGTGCCTCCCCCTTCCCTCACTGCCCCTGCGCCCTTTGCCCTCTTTTTCCTTGATGCCCACCCCTCGCCACCCTCTGCCCCCATTCCGCTCATGCCCCTGTGCCCTCACACATGCCTTGCTCCATCCCCACCTTCCTCATGCCCACCCCTCCTTTCAAGCCTTCTCCCAGCACCTCTCCCTCTTTAGTCCCCAATGCCCTTACCCTCTCCTCTCCCAGCATCACCCTGGCCCCCCTCCCACTGACACCTCCCTTCCTGCCCTTTTACTCATTGTCTCCACTTGGCCCCCTGGCATGTCTCTCTCCTCCACGCTGTCCCTTGGTGCCTTTCCCTTTCTTCTCCTGACCTGCCCCCCTCCCCTCAGCACAAGCCCCTTCCTCTGCCACCCACCTTCTGCTTTCCAGTTTGCAGGGTGGCCACAACCCTGGCCCAGGCTCCAGACCACGTGCCGAACCAAGTGGTGCAATGCTGGACCGTGCGGTTTTAAAGTCCCAGGTTGTGACATCACGCCACACCCAGGCGTCTCCCCTCTCAGCTGTTGGGTGGCGTTTTAGCATACCGCACATACACTCCCTCAGCCCCACAAGGCCCGTACCGGCTGGCACCAGGAAATTTAAAGTGTGGGGCTGTGGCGCCCTGTCACGATTCGCCTCCATCTCCAGAAGCCGCCTGCCAGCCCTTCGGCGGACGGCCCACCGGGAAATTCCTGGTATCCCACCGGGCCAGTCTGCCCCTGGTGCTGGCTCAGGGCCTATTGAAGCTCGGGGCCCGGGGCAGCCGCCCCGCTCGCCCTGCCCTATATCAACTGCTGACTGTTAGGATAATTATATCAATAGACAGCACATCTCACTGTCACACATTCTGCATAGTAATCACTTACTACCCAGAATACTCCATAATAAGGGGAATAGAAGAGGGAGAAGAACTACATATTGGGTAATTAATATTTTCAAAGAATACTTTTTCAACACAGTATTGGGTTTAAGAGCCAATGGAAGGGTTATATGTCCTCAGTGGTAGATTTTAAGTTATTTTCCACACAAACACCAGTCTAAGTTGAAAATAATCTAAAATCCATCTAGATACACTCAGAGGCTACGTCTACACTGGCCCCTTTTCCGAAAGGGGCATGCTAATTTTACAGGTCGTAATAGGGAAATCCGCGGAGGATTTAAATATTCCCCGCGGCATTTAAATAAAAATGTCCGCCGCTTTTTTCCGGCTTTTAGAAAAGCCGGAAAAGAGCGTTTACACTGGCCCCGATCCTCCGGAAAAAAGCCCTTTTCCGGAGGATCTCTTATTCCTACTTTGAAGAGATCCTCC